GTACGGGTCTGGACAAGAAGAACCAGGCATCCTGGAGAAGATTCAGCAGGCCGGTATGAATCCGGCGCAGAGGGCGAGGTGGCTCAAGACCACAGCTATTGTCGTCTTCGTGCTCTTTCTCTTCTACTATCTGTCTCCGAAGGGTGCCAGCGTGTATTCAGACAGTACGTATTGTTCCAATCGTCTGACCGCATCATGCCAGCACATCTCGAATACTAACCACTTGATCCCCCTTCAGTATCACATCAGGGCGGCCAGACTCCCTCCGACTCGTCTTACGGAACCACTCAGTGTACCAAGTCCTTCTCCAAGGACAAGCCCATCGTCCAGTATGTCCTCATGGTCGACGCCGGCAGCACGGGATCCCGCATCCACGTCTACAAGTTCAACAACTGCGGGCCCACCCCTGAGCTCGAGGGCGAGGAGTTCCGCATGACCGAAAAGTCCGTCGGCGGCTTGAGCAAGTATAAGGACAACCCTCTCGCCGCTGCCAAGACCCTCGATCCCCTCCTCGCCGTCGCCATGGACACCGTCCCCGACAAGCTCAAGGGCTGCACCCCGATCGCCGTCAAGGCCACCGCCGGTCTGCGCATGGTCGGTCCCAATGCCGCCGACGCCATCCTCAAGGCTGTGCGCAATCACCTGGAGAAGGACTACCCCTTCCCCGTAGTCTCCGAGTCAGAGAACGGCGTCGCCATCATGGACGGTGCCGACGAGGGTGTCTACGCCTGGATCACCACCAACTATCTCCTTGGTAAAATTGGTGGCCCTGACCACAGCCCCACTGCTGCTGTTTTCGACCTAGGTGGCGGATCTACTCAGATTGTCTTCGAGCCGACGTTTAAGGGACTACCGTCTGGAGGCATGCCTGAGAAGATGGCCGAGGGCGACCACAAGTACAGCCTCTCCTTTGGTGGTCGCCATTTCGAGCTCTACCAGCACTCACACCTTGGCTACGGTCTCATGGCCGCGCGTAACGCAATCCATCTGGCTCTGCTCGAGGATATCTACGCGAAAGAGAAGAGTCTTGATTTCCTCAAGAAGCCTATTCAAAATCACCCTTGTGTCAACGCCGGCCAGACCGACACGATCAAGGTCAAGTTCCCCGAGGACAGTAAGCTCGGCGTCGGCGAGATGGAACTCAAGGTTTCCGGCCCAGCCATCCCCGCTCCCGCCCAGTGCCGCAGCCTCGCAGAGAGAATCCTCTTCAAAGACGCGGCTTGTGGCCTGGCTCCCTGCTCATTCAACGGCATACACCAGCCCTCGCTCGCTAAGACTTTCGAGCGCGAAGACATGTTCATCTTCTCCTTCTTCTACGACCGCGTCAAGCCCCTCGGCATGCCTGATTCCTTCACCCTTCGCGAACTGCACGATTTGACTAACACCGTCTGTGGTGGTGAGAAGGCTTGGGATGGATTCAGCAATATTCCCGATGCATTGGAGGAGTTGAGAGATCGCGGGGAGTACTGCTTGGATCTGAACTTTATGATCGGGTTGCTTCATACTGGGTATGATATCCCCATTGAGAGGGAGCTCCGGACAGCGAAAAAGATCAAGGATAATGAGTTGGGGTGGTGTTTGGGCGCTAGGTGAGTCTTTTTCCCCTGTCTTTATATGCGCGAGAAGGGTTGCTAATGTGGATACAGTCTCCCACTCTTGTCGAAGAACTCGGGGTGGTCTTGCAAGGTGAACCAGGTCTACTAGATAAATACGTCATTACGGGGTTTTAGTAAATGTCGAAACTCGAATGGCTGTAACAGACCGCTGTTCACAGCGGCAAGAAAACGAACAGACAACCTATCATGTAGAAATACGCATTGTAATGAAGGAGACGAACAAGGCATATGACGGAAGCTCATCACATCGCATTGCTACGAAGAAAAGGTGGGAGAGCATTCACACCCCTGAGTGTCTGGGGACTGGCGTTCGTGGAGGGACTTGGTAATACTGTTTGGGTTGCTTGTAAAGTCTTGAGATTGAATTGAAAAAGTACGATTCATGAAGCACCTCATCGGCATGCTATGAAACTGTTGTTGCTGTGAAGGTTTTGTGGCAGAGAACTTAAGTGTACGATCGACAACCTCTGTTCGTGTTAGGTAAGATCAGAGATGATGTCACGCCAAAGTGAGGTGGCTTCCTGTGCATGGTCACGACCGCTAGTATACCCAGTCAGACTGGCAGGTTGGCGCACAACCGATGGAAGGCACAGTTCAGATAATCTCGGCTCTGCGGCAGGCGGCGAGAGAAATGCCTGCGGTGGTTTCTGAATCATCCTTCACCATCCTGTCTGGCCCAGAATAAAAGAATGCCATCATCCCGTTACTCAATGGCATCACGGTCAGTGTCAGCCAAATGGTTCTGCTAACGAGATGAGGAACCAGATATCATGGTGCATTTTAGGTAGTATGAAGTTGCGTTACCTGCCTCAGGTATGCTTCTCCCATCCCGCCGCACATCCCGCATCCCGCTCACCTACCAGCAATTGTATGGAAGTCTGCCGTTCAAGTGCTTTATAGTTATACATTGACTGTCGACACGGGCACATGCATATATCTCAAGCAAGCTTATGCAGCGAGAAGCCAAAGACGATCCTGAGATTGGCCAAGTTTCAATCTCGTTGACGCCGTGACACGATACGGACCATGGCACAACGAGGCAGATTCCATTTGTCCGTTGTGTAATGTGTCTACTCATGGGTTACCAATCACCACTCTCAACGTATGTGTTCACCAACTGCACAGCCATTGCCTGGTTCCACCACGCCCTCGCTTCGATCATAGAAAAGACGTAAAATGTGCCGGCGTCTGAACTAGTTCCTCCCACTTCTGTTCCGTTGCCATGGAGCAGCACAACTTCCTGATCTCTAGAGCATGCCCACTGACACAATGGAACCTTGCTCCATCCTTGAGCTGACTACAGTCGTGCTGAAGGTGGTGTCGCAAATATACAAGCTTCTGAAAACTGCTAAAAATGCACCCAGGGACGTCCGAGACTACTTGGTAGCTCTGGAAAACACCAGGAAGGTCTTAGTTCATGTCGAGGATTATATCCTTTTCCGTGAACGAACATTGTTTAAGGCAGTGGATAAGTTGCAACTCGAAGCCATTCAAGTAGTTCTGCATAAGTGTAAACTCACGTTTGCACTCCAACTTTCGATCGTGGAAGGATACGACGCCCACGATGCGGCCTCGACATGGCGACAACTTCGGAAGAGGATATGCTTCGGGTTTGGCCAGGACGTATTGATCAAATGCACAGCGAAGCTCCAGACGTTTCAAGCCCTTCTTAACCAAGCATTGACTGCTTCGATTGGGTGAGGCTGAACAAAATTCGAAATGGTAATCATGAGCTAATGATTCGCAGGAAGGACACAGTTGTGATCAGGTCCGAAATAGGACTGGTAAGATCAGAGATGATAGATATGACCAGGAAGCAGCAACAACAATATAAACAGATGTTTCTGGCTATGGAACAGTATACTAAGCGCATTCAGAAAGGTGTTCCAGAGCTTATAACCCAGTCCTGGACCGCAGATTCTGAAGGCTACACAGACGGGGTCGACTTGAAACGTGGCATGGTGGATGGGCATCCGATGTCAGATCATGACAATCCTGACTCACCACAAGACATACCCCCTCATACTGGTATTACGATAATTCATGCTTCGAACCGCTGGGGCGGTGTTAGCCGCAGCTTCAACGACGAGTTGCTGATAGTAAATACGCGAAATGAATCATTGTGAGTAGTCTATTAGATCCCAGAAACAAACTTCTAAAACGAGGGTAGGCGGTGCCTCCCAGTACTTGTCCAATCTGCGTATGAAGACCGAAAGCAACCGATGAGCAAACGGGAGGACATGGTCCGTCTCATGGGTCAGCTTGCTTCCAAATTATTCTTTACCGGAAAGTTTGAGATCAATATTGAAAAAGAACCGGACCCTTCTGGACATGATTGCCGCGCGCGGGCCCCAGTCTAATATTCTAGTATCGGGAACTATCACCATTGACACTATCGACCTGATTATACCAACTTCGCAGGTACAGAAGCTTTCAATCATTGTCATGGCCCCCGTCTTGTGAGGGAACTTATTGACTAACGGGAAGCCATGAAAGACCTCCGATGAGATGAGTCTCGCCACCGCGGAGCTTTGCAACGTGATATACGGATGTGGCCGAGAACTACAAATGTATCAAGATCAGGGGATGACAGATCTGGTAGAGAAGATAATCAAGCCGTTGGAGATCAGCAGTCTAATTCTACACTACGATATAAGGAATCCGCTTTCCGAGCATGATCGGGAAACGTTGAAAGACGAGATGACCGAACTACGTCACATCTACAAGCAAATCAGACTTGAAGTCGATTACCGGCATCGTGCCGAGACGCGAGAGACCGCGCTGAGGGTTCAGGATATCCAGGTGCAGCAGCTGCTGCTGACAGGGATACTTAACGACCAGAGGGGTGTGCTTGAATCTATGATGCGAAAAACACAGTGGATTGACTCGATTCAGGGGCGACAGGATATACTTCAGAATATGCTTCAGGCAGGGAAAGTGGCGGATCAGGGGAATGATTCGGGAATTTGAAAGCAATTATGGGGAAATGATCAGCATTGAAAGTCATAGAAATCTAGCTAGGAAAGTTGATGGGACACATTCCTTCACGGTCTCTATTCATAGTTATCTTTGCAATCATATAAACATCCCTCATTCAACATCTACTATTTGAGGTAAAGCACGAGCTCGAAGTATATCAATTGCGAAGACCTCATTGACAGAGAAAGGGGGAAGCACAGAACTGCAATACAAAAGAAGGCTGAGTTCACCTATTATGTCAGTGTTGCAGTGAGGGGACTCCAGTTCTTCAGTGTCAGCATAGCATGGGGTAGCAACAACGACCTTGCTATGTCAGCAACGACGAGGCCAGAAACTGTGCAAATAAAGTGATCATATAAAGGCAAATACCACACAAATCGCCAATAACCACCCGATGATGAACAAGCCCCGATGGGCCAATGGTCAAAATGGGACAGTTACCATCAATCATGATGCCATGTATGATCAAAATCGTCATTGATGGTGAATGTCTTATCCGGGTTCGAGTCCCGGTTGGGTGTTATTCTCTGAAACCTTTTTTCCACGTCGATTTCGACTGCGGCTTTCCCCCCTTTGTTTCTTTGGGTCTTTTTCTTGGTCCTTTGCTTGATATGCACCTGTTTTCTCCCATCACTTACCTCGACTTCTCTTGGGTATTGTCGTTTTGAGAAATCTCGTGGAGAGGAAATTTTCTCTATCATCTAGTTGCCAGCACTCAGACAACTAAGACTTAGAGTTTTGAATGTCTAAGTCTTAGTTACCAACTAGGTAGCAAGTAGATGATAGAGATTTTTTTACCGGCGCCGTACTCACTTGGTTTATCCATATGTCGTTTCCTTGTGTGTGGCACATTAGTTGGGGTTTGTTTTCAGGAAGGTGAACGAGGTGCCAGCTATCCTGTGACTCAACTATTTTGCACGCCTCTTGAACTGGGTATATGGATAGTCTTTGGTGCTGACTAAAATCTGAAATTGCGCAAGGGGTATCTAACTAAAAACTCTTTTAATTGCAAACCTCGTGACGCAGCCCCTTTGTCCGTAACGCCAAATTCACGATTCACTTTTTGTGAGATCCCGGTCACTAACAAAAGCATCACCATCTCTCACGCACCCACTCTCATAAACTCGGCTCATCAAAGAGGTACGTCCACCAACCCCAGCACATCCTCAATGACATCTTCCGGCTCTACGCCTTCAAGCAGCTCCTTCACCGCACTCAAGTCACTCCCCCACTGCATACTGCGCTCTCGTTCCGGAGCAGTGATCTCCAGCCTATGAGTGTAGACCTTGCGCACAGCTAGTTGGACCATCTCGGGCGTTGCGTACGGTAGCCCGTGAAGAGCCGCGAGTGAGGAGACGAGAGAACGGAAGTGAGGCGTGGCAGTGGGCGACACGCTGCCTGGGACTACAGCTCGGTGCATGCGTAGGAAGGAGAGGATGTTTTGTAAGTACCGCAACACAGCGACAGATACATGCGTCTGTGAGGATAGCGTGGATAGCGTAGAGAGGTCTGTCTCCGTGAATAATGGTCCAGGAGCTGGATTTGCGCTGATGTCAGGTAATGGAGATCGCGGAAGAGGTAACCCAGGACTACGTGACGGCATAGTGGGTGTAAGCGTAGGTGTCTTCCTCACACTACTGCGCCTCCTCACTACACTGTCCGTGCTTTTAATGCTGTCCCCGTCATCGTACAGATCATACTCTTCCTCCTCCTCCTGCTCGTCGAGGTTCGGAAATCCATCCTCGGGGTCACACCAATGGCTTATGCAGAATCGATCGTTTAAGTGCTTCGTCAGTCGCGCCCGACCAGCGGACTCGGAGGCTAGACAGGCAATGAGGAGGAATTGCTTGGGACATGGTTGCACGGATGTCCGCGTGAAGATGCGCCGCGTGCGCATTAGCTCTAGACATTGGATCTGCACTGCTTTGGGTGCGAGGTCTAGGTTCTTGGCTATGACGACATTGGGGATTTGGGTCTTTGGTTGGGCTTGGGAGATGGAGGATGTTGATATATTGCGCCCTGCTGCTGCGATGGTTGGCCGCGGCCCGAAGTAGGAGTCGGGGCCTCTGGTCTGTAGTGGGGAAGGCGTTCGGGATGAGGGGGCAGCTGGGAGCTGGATGCCGGTTACGAAGTCGGGGAGTGTGGTTTCGGAGGTGCAGGTTAGTATGGTAGAGGAGAGGCCGAAGGTCTTCTCGCTGGTGAGTTGGAGCTCGGTGATCAGGTCTTCGTGGTCTGGGGCGGGTGTGCTGAGGATGCAGTGCTCGCGGTTTATGAGGCTCAGGAGGATGGCGAGGGAGATGTCGGAGAGGGATTGGACTTTTTGGGTCAGAGCTTCATCGGTCATTTTGGCGGTGATGTGCCATTGGCGACGATTTTGGGTGCTGGACCCGTGTTGGGCGTTGCGAAGTTCGCGATTGAGGTTTGGAATTTCGAGTTGGGAGTGACGTTGGAGGTTGCTTGGCATTTTCAGGGTCCAGAGCTTTGCTTGATACCCGGTGCAAGACACTCCAGAATTGGCAGTATCAGCCTCAGATTCATATTTTAGTATCTATCTCATCTTAATACATAATGTTCTCGGCTGCTTGAGTTTTTATTCTCATATATAGGTCCTTGCAGCGAATATCTATACTAACGTCTTTGTAATACGCCGCAGATGTCGACACCGCAAAACTCGCCCGCGACGTTGGACTGCTGTCCCGTCTTGAGGATTGACTCGATTGCCTGAACTCGCGAATGTGCGTCAGATTCGTTAACACCCCAGAGTCTTGGCACAAGTGTCATTGGTCGCCACGATCTGTCTCGACATGGCGAAATATGTTAATTTCGTGAGGGCTGGGGCTGCGCCATCGTACTCCGCATGCAATGGCACACGTTGACAGGTAAGCAAGGTAGATTTCATCGGATGAGGTCTCGATCTCTCTCACGATGAAAGAACATCCGTCATCTGCCTACGTTGACGTGTCTCAACTGTTAATAACGGCACTATGAGAGTGATCAATACATCGACGTTTACCATTACCACAGACAACCACAGTTTGTTTGTCGACAGAGGTTATGCTATTCTTTCTCATCGATGGACAGGCGCCGAAATCGAATACCAGGGGTTTCCACACCATATAGCCGCGCTCCGGAGCAACCTAGATTCCCTTGACCTGCTCAAGCCGATCGGACTCAACAAGATCCGCGATGCGTGTCGTATCGCACGTCGCAAGAACATACGATGGATGTGGATTGATACATGTTGTATCGACAAATCCAACGCTGTTGAATACAACGAGTCGATCAACTCCATGTATCGATGGTACGCTTGCGCCACGATCTGCATCACCTACCTTAGCGATGTGAAAATGGATCCGAACAGTCAAGGCGTCGATATCTTCCGCTCCAGCGAACACAAAGATCGTCCATCGACGTCAACCTGGTTCAGTCGAGGTTGGACGCTACAAGAATTATTAGCACCCGTTGATATGGAGTTCTACGATACTGATTGGGAGCTAATCGGAACGCGCAAGAGCCTGGCAGCACCTCTGGAAGAAATCACACAAATCAAGAGAGATTACTTCACCGGCGCAAGTGACTGCCAAGAAGCCTCCATTGCCGCCAAGATAAGCTGGATGGCTGGTCGCGTGACAGAGAAGCCAGAAGACGTCGCATACAGTATGCTGGGTCTTCTCGGGATCAACATGGTACCTAGTTACGGAGAAGGAGCAGAGAGAGCCTTTTTACGGCTTCAGTACGCGCTACTCTCTGAGTCAACTGACGAGACTCTTTTCGCATGGAAAATGCCAACCGGTGGCCCTGGAAAGCCTGCGCAGAAACCCAGAGTGTATGGCGAGCATCAACTTGCAAGAGGTGAATGGGGTTTATTGGCCACTTCTCCAGAGTGGTTTCGGCACTCTGGCAACATCACCAACAGAGGGCCAAGGGGTCGGATTATCCGTCGCCAATTCGGAGGCTTTGCTGTAGTCCAGCAGGGGATTATGGTCCCTTATTCTCAAAGCTCATATGTTGAACACCGCCGTGCTGGGCATTACATTCTTAGTTGCCCTATTTTCTTTACCGTCATCGGCATAATTCCATTACTGATTTATGACAAGTACTTCGGCTGGAAGCCAGTGATGAGGTTTGCTCTAAATGCATGGGAGCCCGACGAAAAGGGACACCTATCGATGGTTGAGGTTGCTGTTTGGCCCACGCAATGGGGGTCTCTGAGAGTGAACAGCTTTCAATATTGTCTCAGCAACGCCTGGCCTGGCGAAGATCAAGATCACAGACTATTTTTACAACCGGAGGCAAGAAAATGAGTTACCAATGCCTTATGGGAAGTAAGATCAATCACGTCAGCCTGCTATCGGTTCACAGGGGCTACTGACCAACTTTCTACATAATTCAAATTGTCAGAAAAATCACGACCTTTCTCAACCAAAAACTGTCTCAAGTCATGCCTTGATATATGACCACATCGATCAATGCGGAGACGCGGGTGTGGATGGGAAAACGTTGTCGAAACGGCTCGCCGCTGATCAACGTCGCAATTTACGCTGGCAGGATTATGCGATGGCACAGTTGGCAGTTAGGTAGATCTGGCGAGAAGGCTGAACCATTTTCATTATCAAATATTCACGATGATGGATAGTACTTCGTCTCTACGAAAACGCAGCGTGCCATCGAAGGGTTATCTTTCTACATCACCAACATCACTCCTTACTCCAGTTCAATATCAGTAGCAGCCAGGAGGAACTCCACTACATAAGATCATCAGCACGATAGCCCAAATGCCACACTCAAAAGACAAGGGTGAGACTTACTGAAGCCTGCGTTGGTCTCCTGCAAGTTGAGGATATACTGCTCCTCGGTCGGGTAAAAGGGGCACGAGGCCTCGTCGTTACCAAAGCCAAACTCAACGGTGTAACCGTAAACCTTGTTGAGCGAACGATCGGCAAAATGACGGGAAAACGAGTAGTCATCGCTGGCGCCCGACGTAGGGTAGAAAGCCGCGGCCTGCAGCGTGAGATACTCGCGGCCGGTGGAGGAGGTCATGGCGACAGCCATGCGATCGGCGGCTCCTTTGGCGTTATCCTGGTCCTCGGCCGGGATGTACTCGCCGTACTGGGTGTCGGTGTCGTCCTCGACGAGGCCACGGATGTCGTCGTAGGTCGAGTTGAGGAAGCTCTTGTAGGGCTGCGTCTCCTGGTTCGTGTCGCTGCCCCAGCTGTACAGGATGTCGCCGGTGTACGAGTGCAGGTCAATGAACCAGCGTACCTTTTTGAATGTGTCCAGAACCCATTTCATGTTGGCGGTCTCCGGCTCCGAAAAGGGCGCGGTGCCGTGGAACTAGATGACTGAGGGTTAGCAAATTTACACCGAATGATGTGACCGATGCTGACTTACAACTTCGGACGTAGGGTCCTCCGATGCCACCTCGTTGGCGACGCTAGGAGCCCAGGCATCCAAGTCCCAGACGAAGTCAAAGTTGCGGTTGAGATCAATTCCAATAGCTTCCTCGTCGCCATCGGAACTC